TTATGTCAGGTTCTACACTGTTTCCATTTGGCTTCTATATTATCTTAATGACTTACGATTGAAAACCTGAGGAAATACCTTTCTTTAAATAGTCTCGTTTCCGTTTAAAGTGGTACCCTGATAGCCCATTCTAAATAAAAAATTTTAAAGGTTAGAAGGTTAATTTATTTTTTCACATTATTCAGATCCTTTTAGTTACTTATGCTCATTAAACGAATAAGTAAATTGAGTTACTAATCATTGAGACAATCTTATAGCATTGTTACTTCTTTACTTTTAATTCCATTTATTCTATTTATTTGATTTTACTTATTGTTTGCCAATCCTGTTGACTTTAATATTTTTTAGATACCGTATAGCTACGGAAAAAACAGTTTTTGCTATGCCTGAAACAATGATTGGTTTTTTTCCTGATGTTGGTGGTGGCTATTTCTTACCACGACTTCCTCATCCAGGACTTGGTTTATTTTTAGCACTAACTGGATATAAGTTATCTAGTATGAATACTGTATGGGCCGGCATTGCTACACATTTTATTCATTCTAAAGATGTTAGTTGACGGTTTAATCTTTTCATATTGTTTCAATTATTAGTTTTGAAAACATAATGTATTTGTTGTCTGAGTCTTTGATTTACATCTCATGTTAATGAGATATATATATTTTTTGGAAAAGCCAAAAACAGCCACTACGTTTTCCAAAACTAGTGATCTAACAGCTACTCGCTGCAGTATGTTATGAATTGACTGGATTCGGAAACTGCGAATCAATAAATTCTGTCTTAGTGGCTAAGCGCTACCGTGCTCGTGACAAGCACTGAATCTATGGTTTTACGTATTATCTTATGATCGCGTCATTCCAATAAGGTGTGAGTATTCAGTTCTCTTTCGTTTTCAATTGTTTTTGATCAAATGTTCACTAAGCATTTATATCCTATTAATAATGGCTATCTGATTAGAAGTAGTAGCTTATCAAAATAGATGTGTTTTTTAACGGTAGTGACACTTCTAAAGACATAATAAACCATACTACCCTTTGACTTGCAAGTATCACCCATTTAAAATAAACTGGACATTTTTTAAAAATTTATTCATGTACCCTGTGTGTTTTATAAGATTCTTTCGGAGAATAGTTATAGTTGCATGCTACTCACTATTTCTAGAATATATGACAAACTATCCACGATTTTCCAATTTTTGATGGTACAAGGAATGACTCCAATTCAGTATAAACTAAACTAAAGCTTTATTTTGCTCAGTAATATTCTGATGGATGAAAATTTTATCTATCATACTGTGATTTATGCTATTTATGTTGACATATATAAGTAGTATATAACCAATCGAAAGTGAAATGCCTGGCAACAGAAGATTGAGAAGATCGAATTGAAGAGAAGAAGAATGTAAACAGAGAGTAATTTTAATAACAACAGTTGCAAAGGAACGATGAAGTTTGTAAATGATGATTGATGGAAGATGTGCAGATGAAGTATTTGATGTTTAGTTTTCAAATTTTGTGAAGACAGTAATTTTGCATTAAACTATAATTTTATCTTCCCCACCAAATCTTCGTTCACTACATTACTATTAACTGACCATGGTAAGAATTGTACTCTGATTTTCTTACTACTTACCACATAGTTGTGTTGTTTTTACTACATCCCCTACGATGGAAAAAATTGTCTTGTTTGAGCGAGAAACATGACAACACTTATAAACTTACTAGTATTCGTGTTTACTTCTGTCAGGAAGAATGCAAGCTTTACTGTTTTCTTATTACTGTCGAAAGGTACAGACGTAGTTTCTGATTTATACATAAATATTATCACATACCAAACATCATCTGTAACAGCTTTTTGACGATGAACATACGTGTGCGAACCCATAGGTCCATTTCAAGAGATATGGTGCATCCTACTCAATCTTTATTGCTGTTCGTGGATCATATTACACGCTTAAAAATTATTCACAGAAAGCCTCATGTCAACTTGTTAGAAATCCTTAAATACAGTAATGTAAATGATGTCTTTTGGATTCTCAGCTAATGAGTTGCTTGTGTGCACAACCTGACCCTATAAGAAATTATTTGACTTACAAATTAGCTTTCTAGGTTATATATACAAATTTAAACAACGTGTTTTCAAAGCTGTACTAGTAGCGTCAAACAACAAGTGACATTTAAGCGATACTGAATAAGCTAAACATGATGTCTCGATTTTCCGGTATCTTTTTAGTGAGTAGACATTTATTTACAAAAAATTACTGGTCATTGTTTTTATACACTATTCGTTTCTTTATAGTTATCAAACTTCAAAAATGCACTAATGAATCTTGAATTAAAGTCTACATGTAATCCAGATGATAAACCGGAATTTGCTTATGCTATTGACAAAGTAATAAATCAATTTAGTAGTGATGTGCCTAGTTATTACCATTCTTCAGTATCAAATGATCTCCTATATATTTTAGACGATTTGTCAAAAATATTTTGCTTTTATAAGAATAATGATGATGATGGCGGTGATCATGAGATTCCAGTCACTATAGAAGATATCCTTCTAAAATTATCTAAATGTTATCAGAATATAGAAAATCATGAGAGAGTCATTCATTGGGCTAAAGAAACTTATGACAAATTATTGAGTTGTTCACCTACTTCATTAAAAGTATGGTTTGTTTTTTTCGTTCTATGTTTGGGTTATTTATATTTGATTTTTTTAAATATTTCTTTAGGAGAAGTTATAGTGTATCAAACAGATAGATAGTTAATCATTGACTGTTAATTTTGGGGTTTGTTTATAAATAGTAGACATCATGGTATTCTTCTGAAAGAAAAATATAGTGATATGGTGTTAGATCTTTTATATTACGATGAACTCATTCACTATTCAGATTTCTCTTCCAATCTGTAACATCCTTCTATTTCTAGATCTTAACTTTTATATTTGTCTTTACTATGATTCACTTAAATTTAGTGAGAACATTGACAAATGATATCTATAGTTCTTTTCAAAGAGTTTTTTGCAAGTAGAGTTATATTAAGCAATACTATAGAGTTATTTGAAATATCCAGGCATTATATATATTTTTCCAAATAAGAATTCTTGCTTACAACCGACCTCAAATAATATCATTACCAAGGTTTGTCATGATAGATCCAAAAGATCTAAGCATTAGTAGGTTGAAATAAATATAAATTTATCATAACCATTCAGTAGAAAATCTGATTTCTAATATTTCATAGCTTAATGTAAGTCACTTCATAGAATTGAATTTATGTCAGTTTAAACAAAACAAATTGATAGCTATACTTTTCTTTATATTGAATGCAGTAGTGTTTTCCAGTATATCGAAAGCTTCAGTCACTAGATTTTCTTTAAAGTTAAAAAAAACTTTTCAAGTTGTTTTGATAGTATTTATGTCCTATTGATGATTATTGAAAATAACGTGTACTGCTATTTCTGATTTGATTTGTAGATTTTCAATCTCTGTAGGATTATTAGGTCGTTTTATGTGTCTTACATGTTCCTCGATACAAGTCATGGCTTCACGAGGTAACTTTTCCACACAGAAACCACAATCAACACATTCTGCTATTTAGACATATCTCTGTGTCAAAATCAAATGGATGTTTTTCTTTTAATCAAACTAACCCATTTCGTAGCACGTTGGTTGTTTTAGAGAAAGCTTTAATTTAGTGTAATTTATGGGTTCATTGTGATTCTTTAGTTCTACCATGGTGGCATATTAGAATATGACAAGTATATATATATATAGTACATGCAGTATATTAAACCCTTGGAATCCAACAATGACTAAATCACTTTTTCCAACGTATACGTTTCTGATACTTAACTTGAGATACTAAAGATTACAAATTTACCTTATTTATGTATGACGATTTAATTGTTTCTTTACAACAAATTCTCAGTTAATAATATCATCATGTTGTCACTAACTATTTTGATTTTTAAGGTTACTTTACGTCAATTACAGATTGGTTCTAAATTATCGTTTAGTGATGAATTTAAAATGGAATATCGACTATCACAGAAAATGACTAAAAATCCTGATTTCTATGAAGGTGTTCGTGCTTGTCTTATTGATAAAGATAACACACCAAAATGGAATCCAAATAATCTTATCTCAGTAGATATGAATCAAATTCAATCATATTTCAATCAACTACCGGAAAATGATGAATGGAGACCTGAATAGTTTCTTCTAATCTATTCTGCATTGTTGCTATAACGGTTGTCTTTTTTTAAAATAAAAATGTACGTGTTTACAACTTTTTCATATTTTGTATTGATTATTTTTGTTACAAGAGTTCTACTAACCAAACATCCTCTTAACAAGTTATCCCACTGTAACTCAAGCATACCTATCGTTGCTTCAAAATAAAAACGTTATCCAGTGGAATAGTATACAATTGATATTCGTAATTTAATACCCTTGAAAGATATTTATCTGAAACTTCATCAACTTTAGAAATTAGATTGACTTTCTGTTTAAGGAAGACTTTCAATGAATACCAGATGTAAATTCTAGATTTAACTCTCCTTGTTATTTACATTTCATATTCATTATGCACCACTCTCTCTTGAGATCAGAATAAAAGTGCACCTTGAGCTACTTTGTCATTAAATAACATTCAAATGGTTTCCAGTTGAAAATTTGTTATTAAATTGATTTCGTTGTATTTTAAGGAGTATTTAAATCTGTATTAATCAAAGGGCGAAATAGAAAAAAAATCATATAGACACTTTCTGTTTTTCTGCAAGCAGTTCTGAACCTACATAAAAACTATTAAATTTATCTACTCTTATCAGAGTTGCATTTGAAAGTCGTGCATGAAAGACGTATTTTGCAATATTGTGCGTGTATCGATACTCACATCACTAGTAAATACTTGATTAGGCCTCGTATACATTACCTCATTGCTTAGGTAAAAATAGTTTACGGGACAACCCATTTTTAAGTTTTTTTATACTTATGGTATTGAATAATTAATGTGAGCATTGTAAATAAAATTAGGCTAAAACTAAAATTACATCGAAAGTTTTTTCAGAGTAAATGTTCCTGTAAATCTTATGTGTTTACTCGAAGAAAATGCGTATTTAATTGATACACTTATGTTCATACTGACAGATATCAATCATACATTCATATTTTGATTGTTATTACTGCGTAACAACTCAATGTTTATGATCACTATAGTACATCATTGCTTCATGTGATCGTGTTAAAGCATCTGGTAATGTAGTACCTGCAATCCAATCTAATTGACGTTGTAGTGCTCCAGTATATTTAACATTCGGTGAACCAGTTTTTAAATTAGATTTAGCAAGTGGACCACAAACCTCACAAAAATAACGACGACATTCTAAACCTGTTCGAGTTGTATAGAAGTGTGGAATGTATTGATGGTCTGTAGGTGGTTGGTTTAATTCACCGATTTGTTCTTGTTAAAAGGATAAACACAAGAGAAAGGGAATATTAGAATATCAGCAATAGTAGTTTACTAGTTTTTAAGATAAACAAAAGGATAGTCATATTGATCTTAACATTTGTTTTAGAAAGTATTTATCGAATGTATTGAAGTCTATCAATTTGCTGTTTCTCACTATAAATTGAAGTTTAGCAAGACTAACGATGGTATCTAAAGTGCGGGTTTCATCTTGTATAGGAATTCTCACGTACCGGCATCATAACGTTAATGCATACATGTGCTTCAAATGCTATAATGTTATCGACCACTGGTTCGAAAAAAGCAGCCCTGAATACCAACAATTAAAAAATTCAAACCTTTACAACTGCTAATAGTTGTCACATATTACTAAACGTTTTGTCGATTTTAAATCTATCTATCCTATGAAAATGGTTCCCATGCTTGTCGGGAATAATCATTTAAAATACCAACCATACAATTTAGAATAATAATATATCACATAGAATTAGGTCATTTAAAATAGTTGTGAATCGTAAAATGAAAATAAAGTATAAGTTCCATAAATAATACATAAATTAAACTGATAATCTATAACAGAGAAGTTTTGTTTGTGTAGTTTGTTTAATTCATTATTATCACTAACGATTCTAGGATTATTTTTAAACCTTTATTTAAATGCATAGACATTGGTACAAAGGGGCACCAAATAGATATGCGCCACATAAACCTTTCGATTTGTATGAGGGCTGTGATACTTCTCGGGTGCCCAGGCCGAAACAGGTGGTTTTCCTAGGGGGCCACACCTCGAGCCTTTGACCCGAAGGTCTGACCCACAAGGCAGTGGAGCATCGCGAGGAGATGCAGTCCCATGGTAGGCGGTCACCAACGATTGGTTCATACGCCATTTGTTCCCGCAGGATAATAGAGCCCATGTGCACCATTGGTTTGGAATCCGATTAAAGCGCCGAACATTCGTTTTTCGTCCTCTCGTTCTCGTCTTGCGAGAAGGCAGTGAGTAGGACTTCCATGGCAGAGGCTGTATACGCGTGACTGTGAGAGCATTTCGAAAGGGAGAGCGGGCCCACCCCACTCTTGGCCAACCAGAGCGTTTGAGGGCCTTTACTCTCTATTGATAAAATATGACTGGTCACTAACTTTTTTAAATTAACAGTTGGTGTCTATTATTTATTCGTGTTGTACTTGTTCTAAAAGCACTCTTTATGTATCTTGACGGTTAGTGAGCATTATTGAGCTAGACAGAGTGATATCCAATTCTGTAATTGTTTTCATTACCTAACATATATCCACACATTGATTTTTACAGCTGAATTCGAAAACCGTACATGTTTTTTTCAAGAAGGAAATGAAGTATACTGGGCTGAACCAAATGCTAAGCAACAGTTGTTAACGGGAGTTTGTTATTGGTGAAGATCTGGCTTAAGTTCCCCAGCAAATAGACATAAACTGTTGGCTTAATATTCTGTGAGAGATAGACACATATTTATGGATGGGTTGTGCCTATTTTTTCAATCCGGTTAGGTAACAAAAACTTCCCACTCTTGTTTCTATCTCCTAAGTAGACAAGCTCACATATAGGAGTCGTATACATCAGTACCAGACGTGCACGACCTCGGAATATAGCAATTATCTCTGACTTTATATCTTACAAATACAATGCTAACTTTTGGTAATCTATCATGAACTTTTTTTGATGACTGTAGTAGGAAGAGACGTAAAGTATTTTGGTAATGTTTATGACTCGGAATAATTACGTGTTCAGCTCTGTATTTATTTCATGATAATTTACTGACAATTTTTTCATTGAAATCTTGAGATATTGCAGCAACGGGCACCTACGTCATCGTACTAATAACCCCATCAAGGATCGAGCAAAAGACCATATCGTCAACTTGTCTAAATCAACAGTGAACAATTCTGATAATTAAAATAACTGGGTTAAGAGGACGTCATTTATAACAGCTTGCTAGTGGTTTGCTTCCGTTGTTCTTTCTTTCGTTTGCCTGGTAAATATTTAGTCATTATTTAATCAGCATTGATGGGTCGGAAGTACCACTAAGTTGGACTTTTAAACTAGCTAAGGAGTCATAGGATTGAATGACCCGTACACAAATGAGTAAGCTAAATAGCTACATATTTTACTTGACGCTGTCTCAGTTCCAAGGTTAATGACGTTTCTAAACAAGTATTTTAAAAATACCATACAGTGACGCACGTTATTCATTATTTAACTAAGCAATAGTGTATATATATAACTAGGCCTTTGTTTTTGTTCATGATCAACCACTTGCTGTGCGATCAATTATTCATCCAGTGTCAGGAATAGAAAACTTGATTTGGTCAATATTTACCTGATCTCGTTACCTCAATTTTATATTGGTAATTCGACTTTTCAACAGTAATTTAATAAAACACTAGTTGCACTATAAGTATTTTGAATTTACAACGATATTGCAAATCGATTGTCGTTTGATATATACACTATTGGTTGTCGGTTTGAAGGCTAAACGTTCAGAAGAGGGAGAAAATGTCCTAAGTTTAGGGTCGTTGATCTGAGCCACTAAAGAGGTCTATTCCGGGACACAGTTATCCACCTGTAGAACCCGAGTTTATTTTTACTCTATAGAGGATAGAATAAGATTAGGATTATAAACACAGAGGACACTAATTTAATCACACGTGATGAAGAAACTCTGGAAAATGCGGCATCATCAACAAGCAAGGAGAATCTGATGCAGATATGAAGGCAAGAATTGATAAAGCTAGGATGGCATTCCTATATTTGAAGAACATATGGAACTCAGTACAACTGTCAGCCAACAGCAATGTCAAGATCTTCAATGAGGACGTTAGGACAGTTCTAATGTACGGAGCTGGAACTTGAGGAACTTCCGTAACCATCAAAATAGTGCAAGGTATTTATGAACAATTGCCTATGCAGGATACTCAATGTCCATTGGCTGGATCCCATAAGTAACAATTTACTATAGCAGAGAGCAAACTGAAAAGTACATCCCAGGAGAATTATGGTAGATAGCCTATGTCCTTCAGAAGAGGTAACAAACGTAAGTGATATTACATCTACTATCTACAGTACTGTTGAAAAGTTTCATATTCCGATATCTAATTTCATTTATTTAACTACACAAATCAATAATATTGCCATTAACCTGTTTAGAATATAAATTAATTTTGATTGAGATCATGAACCCATTGAAGTTAGACCACCATTGAAAACTTAGAGGCACTGAACGGCTGTTTCGTCCTGTCGTAGGACTCCTCAGCAGTGCGCATCCACGATCCCGCTAGCGGGAATCGAACCCAGGACTAAAAGTGTGGTACAATAATATTTAAGTAGTCTGATACATAATTAGTTATAAAACATAGAAAACTTCAATAAAATAGTTATATGAACATACGTTCTGTAAGATATGCTATATAACTTTCATCTGTATTAATTGTACTTCTAGTCATTTTCAATGATTTCAAATAATGATCATCTTATCAACTAGTTTTTTTTATTATTTGTTCTAAGAAAATGTATCAGTGCTAAGCAACGAAAAAATAATAATAATGTTTAAACCAATCATAAATATTGTCAGTATGTTTAATGAAAATATTGGTAAAAATAATATCAACCTTGAATAAACCAATCAGAATTAAGATGGTACCTCATAGAGTTTAGTTTTTTTACCCCAAATCAAAAACTCATTGAAAGATAGCTTGTATATTTAATGAACTCAGTTGAAAATGGTCGGTATTAAGTTTCTAAAATCATTGAAATTGATAATCAGTCGGTCAGTCAGCTACAACGTAGAACCAGGGACATATGTGGATCGATCCAAGTTGCCATACCTCATTAACACAATAAGATGAACACCGGATTCATAAAAGTAGTTAATTCCGAGGTGGTAATGTATAAAAGAAAGATTGCAATAAGGATATAGTACAGGAAGAAAGAATTAGTTCATAGAAAGAAAGTTATGAAGCGATTTTAATTTTTTTTAAAGGGAAGACAGAGAGTGTATACACCGACGCCATTGTGATCGATTCTGAGCCATGTCACCAAGAGTCTCCAACCATTGGTTACTATAGTCACGCGGACCCCAACCAAGTAGTCTGCATCTACCAACATGGCTCAGACTAGAAGTTAGTGACTTCAAGCACTAATGCCACCTTTTGGTTTGGCCACCCCTAACTTTCTTCCAACCATCCCCAACACTGTTTAGCATTGCACGTCGTGGTAATCAGTGTTCAGGTACACGTAACACGTGGCCCAACCATCTTAGTCGATGAAGATTTACAACCTCATCAACTGATTTATCATCATTCCCTAATACCCTGAGTCTAACCTCACTATTACTTACCCGGTGATCCCAGCAGATGTTGGCAATATTTATAAGGGAACTGTGGTCAAATACTAGTAGCTTACGACCCGGCCGTTGTTGCTACCTTGATGTGGTGGTCGGGCTTGCCTATCGAGGTGAAGTAACTGAGCTAAACTGGTCGGAACAACTGTTCCTCAAGGTCCTACCATACCAGACATATCGGTTGAAGAGCGGTAAGACTAAAAGCAACAAACCTAAGGTCCGAAGGCGAAGTTGTACTGCTGACTGTACAGAGGTTTGACGGCAATGAGGTGTTTCTTTCAGACAACCAGCATGACAGCGATGCTGCCTTCCCACAAGGAGGGGTGGGGTTAAAAAACGTCGAGCTTAAAAATGCACAACTCGCCTTATCCCACGGATATCCGTCTTCGGCGGTAAGGTCTCAACAAGTACGGAGCTAACACAAAAAATTACTCATAAAAAGATGTGTGTGACCGGCCTCAACCAGTTGTCCCTTGGGCACTGCGGTCACGCTCTCAGGTCACTAAGACCACCTCTAATCCAATTTCCTTTTCAGATACCTCCAGAAGAACCCTTTCACGGTGTGGGCAACCGGGAAGTGATAACCGCCCTCATACCTCTAACAGCACTCAAGACCACTGAAATTCTTAATAAATATTGCACAACCAAAGAGAATATAATATGATGTTTGAGTTAAATTAAAAGAAATACTTGCTCCTGATGTAGGTTTTTTGTTGTTGGAATATTTGATATGAATCAATGAATATTCAAGTCTGTTTTTGTATTTAAATAATATTCTCCTAAACTTCTTAATTTTATCAACAAAAGGGTAGTTAAATTTCATTGTACCATATCTGATGTCTGTTTATAATTTAAACTCTAACCCTAATTCGTAATTCAAACTTATAACTTGAACTCAATCTCGAAATCCTAATCAAATTCTTCTACATTTTAGCTGATATCGGTTTACGACTAATATTCTATTGGATTAAAACCCTAATTCACAACACTAACACGATTCCTAAAATACAAACTTTTCTTTTGATTCAATATGTAATGGTTAATTGGTCATATTGTACTATAATTGTTTGATAATTAAACTGCTTTTTAACTGGTTAATAAGTCTCTCAAGGTCTCCAGTATAGTTTACTTTTGGCAAATTTTCTTATAAAATTACCACGTGTTTCATTTATTACCAAGTACGTAGGAGTAATAAGTTCATTCTGCTATTATACAGTGAAAATATGTTCAAATTAAACACTTTAATAAATCATTTGATTACTACTGCACCGAATTTAATGATCAATCTTATCGTTTTGACATCAGAATCTTCGTTCATACGATTCCTTAATTGTCGTCTCATTATGTCACTTTACCAATCTAAAGACAAGTTTCCTGAAAATTGTTTGGGAAACTATAAGAAATCTTGTGGTTTATACCAAAGACTGAAAACAAAAGTAATAATCCTGGATATCCGGAAAGCGCTGAATAGCTGTTTTGTTCTAATATGGGCCCACCTCACAGTACGAATTTATGACCACATTAGGAGCTCGTCTCTGAGTCTTCAGATATCGCGTAAAGCGCTTAACTCCCAAACACTGACCCTGCATTAAACGGTCTGCATGTCTAAATTCACTCAATTCCCTACATAAAAAATACTTACATGAGTATTTACGACATTAATCGATCGAATTACAAAATGGTGTTCATTTTGCAATGCTGGTCTATCAACCATGATTTTGATTAGTAGTTTTTGATTCTTGTTCTGCCATTGTCTATACATTTACTTTGTCTTTCCATCCAGCTCAGAGAACAAAACTCCACCAAAATCTTTGTCTTTCCCCTTAAATTGATCTTTGACTTTATAATTCCTTATGATTTTTCTGATTGGTTAGGAAATTAGATCTATATGAATGTATTTTCACGGATTTTTGCCTGACCTGATTGAAAATTTTTTTAAAATCATCTGATCTCTTTATTCTTTCTGTTCCCAGTCACAGGTATGTTCATAAATGAAATGAGTAAAGAGACATTTTGGCTCATGATAATTAATTATGTCCCTGAAGACGAAAAGGGTAATAACTCTATCTGATGTAATATTTCTCAGTTTATCTTGTAGATGATGTTTGAATTTTTCAATTTTTGCAATTCTTCATTTGGTTTACATACACTTGATGGAAGGGATTTTACACTAGCTCAAAGAATTATCAAAAGTAATCTCTTGTACGTCAAATTTATACTACTTATATACAGAGAGATTCCTACTTAAAAGTTACTATTTACTCATTTTCTACGAAGGATAATAAAATATTCGAAGTTTAGTTTAGTGTGACGTAGGGTTGTCAGCATTTCATAGACTTATAGAACTCCCAAAGGATGTACGTGTATATAATTACATGGTGACTTATTACAAAATAGACAGAACTTAATACACTGATTGTAAATAATAGTGATTATGTAATTATTATTTTTATTATTATGAGTACGAGTAGTATTAGTATTATAAAAGGTTCATTCAACGTTCAGTCATGTTAAACATTCGTGCGGATACTTACTGATTTTTGATATTTTATTCCACTAGTTAGTAAACAGATTTTAGATAAAAATTTCAATTTTTCTCATTGATTTATCTGAAAGGCACTTAGATGAATTTTACGGTGTCGTGACTCAGGTACCAGACAATGAAGACCATCTGCTACATATATGCTTAGATGACCATATGCTTCTAGCATGCTTTAACTTTAAAAATAAAGGACAACACTATCTTATAAAGCAACCCTCATAATCGACTCAACTATGGACTTGAATAGACCACATTACCCTCAGCCACCGTTAGAGAGGCTCTGTAGAAGACTGACTTGTTCCAAAGCACATGTTTAGACTCTGATCATGCTTTAGTACGAGCACGTACATTCCTGCGCTTTCTTGGATGAAGAAAATTGACAGCTAGTAAACCCTTGATGTTAAACCTAATGATAAAAAAACAAGAATATATTCCAGGTACAACTAGAAAAGGAACTAGCCGACGTTGTAAGCGATATCCACCTCGAAATAGTCTGCCGTGATATTCAAACAGCTGTGGAAATAGCAGCGGTATCCACCAGCAACTTGAAACTGAAGGTTAGGAGACCAGTAAGCTTGGGCATGCTTACTGAACTAATAGATCCTTCGAAACTCATCCAATCTGGCTAAAAACACGAGTAGTGAAGGCAGCTTTGATGCTGGCTGACAAAATGCCTACCTAATGATCCTGAGTCGTGGTGGGTAGGGAAATGAAAAATAATGGAAAAGACAGCGGCAGACTTTTCGGACTTATCTAGTAGGCCAATAATAGAAACCTGGTTGTTATTGAAACTATAGGAAAGTAATAGAGCTACTATTCCCTCTCAATTCAGGGAAAAGTCCAACTGTTTTCTCAAATTGCTTCACCCAAGATCGATGTTTCCTGCGTTACACCAAACTACTTATTGTTGCCCAGTAGTTTGAATTATATTTCACTGTTTTATGATTGGCGTACATTGGAGTGAATTTTAACCAGTTGAACAAGTCATCCAATCAGTCAACATATTCTCTACTTCGTGTTTTATTTTTATTGTATGTTACTATTCGGGACTTAAAGTATGATGTACGAAGTTTACATTATAGTACGTTAATCGTTGATATTCACGCTGAATTCATGGGCTATTTTTCATGATAGTACATAGTGTGGTGAAGAATATTTTTTCAGTCATGCGACCCTCGTTAAGATTGTTTCTAAGGCCATTTCCTACACTGAAAACCATATGAATGCAAATGTACAAACACTGCGCTCATGTCATCTTTTATAATAGTACCGCATATTCTGAGTTTTTTAATTGTTGTCAGGTTAGAATTCTCGGTATAGTAGGTTTTTTTTATAATAAGTATATCTTCAGTAATCATAACTTGTAGTACATGACTTTTTATCAAGACTATCTACTATTACTATAGCTTAGATACACTGATTGTTAATTTATATTGATAAGAGTGAATCAACCAATAATATTTGAGTTAAACGCTCACCACTTAGGACTTATTTAGTACCAGGCTGATTATTATTCTAACCCGTTTTACTGAACTGCCAATCATGAAACTGCACCGGTTATTAT